AATGCTCTCTTGCAACTCACATCTGTCCACACCCAGCGCCACTCAAGCTTCACCTCCCAACTAAGGCGGTATCCCCCTCAATTGCCCTGGGCTTCCACAGCACCTAAAGCTGAGCACGTATTAGTGCTCAGACTGTCCAGGATGAGGCCTCTGTCTTTACTTTTCTAATCCACAGTAGCCCTCTTCCAGTGGTCACACCTGATTTCCCTTTGTGGGAATTTATCTTTCTCCCCTATCAGTTCATGTGTCCCAGGAATGTGTATGTGGCCGAGACCTTAGACAGTCACACTGATTAATTAAGAGGTAGACACTTGACCAAAGCTAGACAATCAGAATCAGCCCTGGAACTTTTACTGGAACCATTGAATAAAAGCTCTTTTTTATTCCACAGGCATCGCTAAGCTGAAGCAATGTAAATTCAGAGCTGCTGGTAGCCTTACTTATAACCTTCAAGAGAGAAGTGAATTTAAAAGTGAGCCAACACAGAGGAACAAGGAAATGGAGATTGACTGATTTTTTTTAAATATTTATTTATTTATTTGGCTGCACTGGCACTCCGGATATTTGTTGCTGCATGCAAACTCTTAGTTGCAGCATGTGGGATCTAGTTCCCGACCAGGGATCAAACCCAGGCCCCCTGCATAGATAGGGTGTGCGGACTCTTAGCCACTGGACCACCAGGGAAGTCCCAAGAGATTGATTTTTTTTTGGAGTATAATTGCTTTACAATGTTGTGTTAGTTTCTGCTGTATAACAAAGTGAATCAGCTATATGTATACATACATCCCCATATCCCCTCCCTCTTGCCTCTCCCTCCCACTCTCCCTATCCTACCCCTCTAAGTGGTCATACAGCACCGAGCTGATCTCCCTGTGTGATGCAGCTGCTTCCCACTAGCTATCTATTTTACATTTGGTAGTGTGTATATGTCGATGCTACTGAGAGACTGATTTTTAATGGTGTTATTTGAGCATCTGGATCCATCCGTGCCTGAAGCCAGTACTGTTGACTTTTAATGTATGTGAACAAAAACCACTACCCTCTTTACCTTATTTTATTTTACTTTTTTTTTTTTTTTTTTGCGGTACGCGGGCCTCTCACTGTTGTGGCATCTCCCGTTGCAGAGCACAGGCTCCGGACACGCAGGCTCCACGGCCATGGCTCATGGGCCCAGCCGCTCTGCAGCATGTGGGATCTTCCTGGACCAGGGCACGAACCCGTGTCCCCTGCATCGGCAGGCAGACTCTCAACCACTGTGCCACCAGGGAAGCCCTTTACCTTATTTTAATTTACTTAAGTCAGCTTGAGTTGGGTTTCTGTCACTTTTCACTGAAAGACTGCTGACCAGTATAGTGATTCACCTAGATGGTAAGCTTCCTGAGCCATGCATGGCATGGCCAATAAACAGCTTGAGTAAATGTTCACTTGAACAAGAACCATACAACAGGAATTCTCTCTTTTTTTTTTTTTCTGTCTGCACTGCATGGCATGCGGGATCTTAGTTCCCCAACCAGGGATCAAACCTGTGCCCCCTGCAGTGGACGCACAGAGTCTTAACCACTGGACCACCAGGGAAGTCCTTCTAATTCTTATCTGATACAAATAAGGCCCTCTGCTTCTCTGCAGTTTCTCTGAGGATGACTGATTTCTCACTTTCTGAGTGGAATGTTCTTGGTGAAAGAGTTATTCTAGGAACCCCACAGGCCTGAAAGAGATACTTTAAATCCACTAATCTGACTGATTAGTCCCCCACTGTACAGATGAGAAAACTGAGATTTAAGCTAAAAAGCGGTTGCTTAACACTACATGGTGAGTCACAGGCAGAATTAACTAAGACAACCCTCCCCCACCAGCACAATCCCATGACTTGTAGTCTAGTGCTCTGGCCTCTGCCCCCTTTTTTTTAATAAATTTATTTATTTTTATTTATTTATTTTTGGCTGCGTTGGGTCTTTGTTGCTGCGCTTGGGCTTTCTCTAGTTGCGGTGAGTAGGGGCTACTCTTCATTGTGGTGCACAGGCTTCTTATTGAAGTGGTTTCTCTTGTTGTGAAGCACAGGCTCCAGGCGCGCAGGCTTCAGTAGTTGTGGCACGTGGGCTCAGTAGTTGTGGCGCACGGGTTTAGTTGCTCCACAGCATGTGGGATCTTCCCAGACCAGGGCTCAAACCCGTGTCCCCTGAATTGGCAGGCAGATCCTTAACCACTGCGCCACCAGGGAAGCCCCTGACCTCTGCCCTTTATTAAGCAAAGTAAGTCAGTCACTTAGCCAGAGCTCAGAAATCTCTAAGTAAAATACAATGAACTGCTCAACTCTGATAACTGCCCTTAGGGGTGGGGCGAAACACAAGGGAAAGAGCACCGGACCAGGAGCCATGACTAGTTTACTCTATTACTGGCTGTGTGACTTTGGGTAAGAACTACATGTCTCTAGGCTCAGTTTCCTCTCTCTATAATGGGGGTGGAGGAAGGCAGGGTTTGAAGGAGCTGATTCCTAAGGTCCCTGAAATTCTATATTTACATGGGGGTTGTTGAATAGTTCATCAAATCCCCAAGATTAAACCCACATGGATTACAGAGAATTGGATGGATTACAGCGAACTGGAAGGCCAAGAGGTCAGTAACCCATCTGCAGACTACAAATCAAGGTTCAGGATATGGGAGTTCCAGCTGAGCATATATTCTTTCCAGCTCGCCTTTTAAGAGTAGAATGGAAATCACCTTCTGGGTACTGATAAATATGGAGATACGTCCCACATCCTACAATTCTCCTTTCTCACTTTCTCCAAAATCTGAAAAGACCTCCATCTAAGTCAACTGGAGCAAGAGCCCACTAGAATGTCCACACTGAATAAATGCTGCCTTCTGCAAGGTAGTCCTTTTGGGAGTTTGAACAATTCTTCCAAGGGGCCAGAAATTCCTCCCAGCATTTGTAACAGTCCTCTTGGGGAAGCAAACCAGCCTCATGATTCTGCCTTCACACCTTGGCTTTCATCTCAAGTGACAGTTCTCAATTTTGACCACCCATTGTGTTTTCTTCTTTTTTAATTTTTTAAGTTAATTTATTTATTTGGTTGTGCTGAGTCTTACTTGCAGCAGGCGGGCTCCTTAGTTGTGGCTGGTGTGCTCCTTAGTTGTGGCATGCAAACTCTTAGTTGCAGCACACATGTGGGATCTAGTTCCCTGACCAGGGATTGAAGCCGGGTCCCTTGCATCAGGAGCGCAGAGTCTTAATCACTGTGCCACCAGGGAACTCCCATCCACTGTGTTTTCTACACTTGGCCATTTCCAAAAATCATAGTCCTCCTTTAAAAAATGGAGGTTTGGGACTTCCCTGGTGGCGCAGTGGTTAAGAATCCGCCTGCCAACGAGGGGGACTCGGGTTCGATCCCTGGTCCGGGAAGATCCCACATGCTGTGGAGCAACTAAGCCTGTGCGCCACAACCACTGAGCCCACGTACCGCAACTACTGAAGCCCACGCGCCTAGAGCCCGTGCTCCACAAGAGAAGCCACAGCAATGAGAAGCCCGTGCACCGCAACGAAGAGTAGCCCCCGCTCGCCACAACTAGAGAAAGCCCATGCGCAGCAACGAAGACCCAATGCAGCCAAAAATAAATAAATTATTTAATTTAAAAAAAAAATAGAGGTTTCCCCTCAAGGACGATGTTCAAGAGTATACACACCACAATCCAAAGACAATTTCCTACAATGTTTTGAGGATTGGAACCATCAGCAAGTGACAGAACAGCTTCTTCAGGAGGTCTCTTTTGAAGGGGCTGACACTTGTTGAATATCCTGAGGGGCTTATTTTGAAAAACCATCTCTGCTGCATGATCATCACATTTTCCCTTCTCCTTCTCAACCCTGGAAGGCTCTAAACATTTTCCTTCACCAGCCTTCATCGGCCCTCCTCCTCCATCCCTGCCATCCCCTGGCCCAACTGTCCTCAGCCCAACTCTCTTCCCTGCCTGCAATTAGGCAAATGCCCAAGTTGCTGAATCTTCAAAATCTGTCTTCGATTGAAAGGTAGGCAGTGATGGGGGACTCTAATGGATCCTGGAACACTGTCTCAGCAGTTCTTACTCCCAAAAGGCCCTTCTCTGGTCTTTAGGGCAAGGTGTCTGTCTTAACCAAACATTTCGGAGGGTCCCAGAGACTCATTCCCACTAGGCATGGCACCAGAACCCTTCCTGCCTTGGTGGGGGTGGGAGGCTGGAGACCTGCTCTCCAGAGGCCCATGTTGCCAGGTGTTGTCAACCACCTACACTTCAAACATTGGACAGACACTACAGACAGCCTTCTCTCAACACCACCCTCCATCTTTTCCCAGCTTTATAGTTTATAAGTTACTCTTTCATGAGTTCTTGGACTCTTCTCCACTGTTTTACAGATGAGGAAACTGAGCCTCAGAGAAGTAAAGTGAAACATCCAAATTGATAACGTTAGCAAGTTAAAGGTCACTGTCAGATCTCTTGATTCCCCATCTCATTTTTTTGTTTGTTTTTAATTTTTTAGGTCACGCCGTGTGGCATGAGGGATCTTAGTTCCCCTACCAGGGATCAAACCCGTGCCCCCTGCATTGGGAGCACAGAATCTTAACCACTGGACCACCAGGGAAATCCCTCATGCTTTTTTCAATGCAACAGAAATTGCTCACACCTAGAGTAACTCCTCATTCAGATAGTTATTTCCCTTAAAAGCCAAGGGTCTCTTTCTCAGAGACCCTCAGAAACTCAGACATAATGCTCATCCATCAATAAACGCAATCTGCCCACATCCAAGCACACAGACCTATAGACCCAGGTCTAAGGCTATGCCCTCTGCCCCAAGGTGTCTCTCTCAGAGAATCCCCTCCCCACTGGCTGCTTAGAGTCAGCGAAGGAGGTGTGTCTTTAGACAGAGGAGCAGAATCTGTCTCTGACTCCTCCAAAAAGGGGTCCTGGAAGAAGAAGCCCCTTCCTCAGCGTCTGTTCTAGAAGTCCCACCCCCGCCCCTCCCCTACCTGCCAAGAGCTGCATCCAGGCGCAGATCTTGTAGACCGTGGCCGTGTTGCAGAAGAAAAAAAGAGCAAAGCAGGTGATGCAGCCGAGGATCAGCACCATGGAGAGCAGCACGAAGAAGGCGGCCGCCTTGAAGGCGCCGGACGGGATAGTGCTGAAGTCGGTGAACGAGCCGCGGCAGGTGAGCTCGCGGCCCGCCAGCCCGCTGCCCACACAGTAGTGGAAGAGGCCGAAGTAACCAGGCTTGGGGGTGCTCACGCTGTCGCCCACCCAGTAGGGCTGGATGAAGACCACCACGTTGATGATGGCGAAGCAGATGGTGAAGATGGCCCATAGCACACCGATGGCCCGCGAGTTCCGCATGTAGTGCTCGTGGTAGAGCTTGGAGGCCTCCTGCGAGGGCAGCATGGTGCCCGGGGGCGGGGCCGGCGGCGGCTTGCGGGGGCCGCCGGCCCGGGACCGACAGCCGGGCTGCCGGGCGGGAGCTGGGGACGCACGCGAGAAGCGACCCTGAGCCAAGGAACCCGCGAGGGCGGGGCCTGAGGCGGAGCTGAGGGGACCTGGGGGCTGGTATGGAGGAGCTAGGAGGGGGTCATGAGAGTATCGGGAAGGTGTCAGGGTAGGGGGAGACTGGCCAAGATCTCCAATTCGGGGACACAGGAAGAGGCCATGTGAAAGTTGGGGGGCTGGGATGAGGGAGCTGGAATGAGCACAGGAGAGCTGGAGGCGGGGCGCTAGAAAGTGGTTACGGCGGCGTTGGGGAGGGGGCTTGGGGGCTGGTACCGGCGAAGTAAGAGGGGACCGTGGGGAGATGGAATGGAGGCTGGAGACCGGCAGCGGAGAATTAGCAGCGGGGTTTTACAGGGAGCTCGGAAAGGAATCTGGGGGCTGGTGTTCGGGGTAAAAGGAGGTCTGCTATTGGGTGTCTAGAAAGGGGCTGTGGAGAGGGGGGTGGGCGATTCTACGAGGGGGTAAGAAAGGGATGTAAGGGGTTAGTGCCAGGGGGCTGGGAAGGTGATATGGGGGCTGGGACAGGGAGGGCGAAGTGCAGGACCCAGGATGAGGCTAGAGGGACATCGGGGGCCGGAGCCGCAGGGTCTGAACAGGGGGCCGGGGGGGGGGTTGGGAGGGTCCCTCAGAAGACAGGGCTCGGGGGAGCCTACGTTTGGCGGGCCAGGGCTACAGGGAGAGAGGTTTTCCAGGCGAAGGGGACGAGGGACAGGCGCCGGCAGGCAGCCCGAACCGC